AGAGAGAGAGAGAGAGAGAGAGAGAGAGAGAGAGAGAGAGAGAGAAGGAAAAATGGCCGCGTGTCGCGCTTCGCGAAGGTAATTTTCGTGAATTCTCAAACGTCGTAATCGCGGAGTACCGCGGTCAACCACAAAACATGTCGCTTTTTTGAAAATATGGACATTGTTAGGTCAAGCCTGAGACTTACCTGGCAAACCTTTCCTTGTCCTGCACATTGTCATCATCCAGTCTTCTGTATTTACAACCACTTGGATCATCCTCATCAGATCTGCAAGAGAAATCGGAGGTAACGATTAATCGCGAATCTTTACTCACTGCATACAGTGAATGTAGCCAATGCATGTAATCAATGCTTTGAAAACGTTCGTGACAAACGAATTCTTTAAGTTTCTTGGAATACACAAAATGTCATTAACCCTTATCCAGCTACTGCTATTTTCACATTAAATTGAAGAAAAGGAAATTTCTTTTCCGATAACGATCTCTCAAGTAGTCACGGATCGCCGAGTTCGGCGGCCGAAAGGAACAAATAATAGAAATTCCACGAGCGTCGCGTCACCGATACGTAAAGTGTAATCGCTTCCGGACTGCCAAACGTGACCGTACGGTCCAAAATTGGTCACCGCAGGGTCGTCGTCGGCTTGCCCCTTTCTCCCTCTCTAATCTAGAGCGCCGTAACAGTAAGTAGCGGAGCATGAGAGAATCTCTCGACATTCACGCTCATCGCCGTCCATTCATTTCGACGCGCTTTTTCATTCAAGCCATCCCTTGTCGTGAGTCTCGCGACAATAAAACGCGCAGTGCTCATTACGGTTAGCTATCGGATTCCACCTTGAACCTCGCGATGAACCCAATCGAGACACGCGATTGTCGCATCAACATCGATCGGTCCCGCTGAATTCGCGAAGGAAGCTCGAGAGGGAACGAGCTCTCTTCGGAGTCGCGAGATCAGCAGAGTCGGAAGAGGACCCTGGGCGGGCAAAGGAGAAAGGAGCAGCACCGTAAATCCGTCACCTATCGTCTCATTACCGGCGTGTAAGAGCGCGTGTATCATCTACCGCGCGGCATTAAGTGCGATAGAAAATTATGCTCTCATTGGGGAGAACCAACACACTCGCACAGAAATCCAACCGATCGTCAGTCTGTATTGCACGGCGCGCGAGTGATGTACGATTCTGACCCTGAGCGAAAAAGCAAGATCCCCTTACTTACCGGTGCCCCTCCCGCTTCGTCTTATCCCTGCTAGCCCCTCCCGTCTCTCTCTCTCTCTCTCTTTCTCTCTCTCTCTCTCTCTCTCTCTCTCTCTCTCTCTCTCTCTTTGCGGAGTTCGTTCGCTCGCTCGCGCGCAGTGAACGTCGCGTTCGAGAGACGATGTACAAGCCTGCCCCCTCCCCAGTCCCCACCTTTCCCTCTACCTTGCCTCTATGTAAGGCCCATAGGACCCGCGACTGGGTGGGGGTGGTGTAGGGCCCAACAGCGAGTGTATCCGGGTATCGCGAGGGGAGCGAGCAAGGCCCTCTTCTCCTCTCGCCCTTTTCTCCGTCGTCTTCCTGCGCGGGAACCTTCTTGGCTCCCTTCGTCCCCACGTTCTCGCGTTCCTTTTTTCCTGCT